CAATATCAATATCAATAAGAGTAGCAATAAGAATGGTAGTAGCAAAAAGAATAGCAATAAGAATAGCAATTAAGAAAAGCAATAAGAATAGCAATAACAATAACAATAGCTTTGACTCCAGCTTTACTAGTACTAGCACAGAAGACAGTATTTGTGTCTTTGCAGTACTGTACAGTACGTACGGTATGCGTAGAAGCCTGTTTATTTGTACGTACGTAGATTGGAAGCAAACTGGAGACCAAAATACTGATTTACKGAGCTTCMTGGTACAAAACGCTYGTAGAAATCCTGTAGAAAATTCAAAATCAAGGGGGTATACTGTCCATTTTGCTCAAAATGGAAGGGTTTTGATTCCGCGTTCAAAATCATACTGTGTCCTACTGTCTTTACCTAAACTTCCACAGCACGCTGATACAGCGTGCGTGCTTAAATTTGGACTGTGATTGCCCTCTCTATATATTAAATACTATTCATCACGTATCTTATATAGAGATCCCACTGCATTGCTCTGACTTTGTATAGGAATCCCGTGTCATTGCAATATATAATAATATTCATCASGATTATAAATATTAGGAATCCGTTAGGAAAATAAAATATATTCATATACATATATTATATAGTTAAGTCCCGCATTGCTCCCGCTGTGGATTGCACAGTAAAGAAACTACGTACCAGCCTCAACAAAAGAGCATACTTTGCTTGTAATAGGAAAAACTCCGCAATCGAACCATTCCTATTGACACTACTAATAGGATGATTCCTCCAACTTGCAAGCTTGGTGTCTCTCTGGGGGTACAAAAAATTGGATGCAAAATGTAGGCTTGATTTACAGCAGATTCGTAAACTTGTAGGTCATGTAGGCTTGATTTACGGCAGATTCGTAAACTCGTAGTAGATTCTAGTAGTCCTGAGGAGGAGACAAGGAAGGCAAAGGGACGATAGCGTTAGTCGGTTTTGCTTTCTTCCCAGACCTAGGAACAACAAACTCATCACGAGGGCGAATACGACCAGCAGATGGAGACCCAGGGAGAGGGACAGTCGATGGATCAACAGCAGCATGTGTTTGGGAAGAAGGCGTTCCTCGGAAAGGTGTTGGGAAAGGGGTCGACGACGTGTTGTTATCATCCTCCTCCTCATCGGAATCCACATCCATCCCAGAAGACGCTTGGGGGCTTGCTGCTTCCTTCTTCTCTCCTAACTTACATAGATCAGTATTGTCTTGAGATTCTTCAATCTCAATCCTTTTAGACGCGCCAGACTTCGTTGCCTCGTGGAAGATGATCCTGAGGAGCTTCACGGGGACTTCATTTCCTTTCTTGTCTTTAGTTTTTCCAAGAAGAATCTTTGGCTCGTAGATACTGGTATCCATATTCTTCCCAGGGAAGAAGACAATACTGTGGTCAAAGATCTCTCCATTCTCGTCCTTGAGCTTGTTTTTATTCTTCCCAAACCCAATCTCAGAGGGATGCTGTCTGGGAAAGAGGAGTTCGCCAGTTGAATCCTTGTCCATCTCTGCCAAAGAGAAGTAGTTTGACAGATATGGCGGCMACCTGATGCCGATCTTGAAGTGTCTCTTATCAATCCAACTAAGCTGAAGATCATCRAGTTCGGTGGTGGGATCAAGACTCATGACAATCTTTGCAAAGCCCACCACATCACAAAGTTCCTCATCCCAATTCTCCCAATAAGTAGGAAGCATTGGTCTGGCACAGGGTCGAAGTGCAACTGCACCGACGAGGTCGAGGTCGTCCTTGCCAATCTTCATAGAACTCATGGTAGAACAGAGGGCGTCTTCATCGCGGGCCTTCGACGAGTGAACTCTTCTTGGCGCCATGGGGGATAAATCTTCCTCTTCTGATTCAGTTTCTGGTGGAGGAGAGGGGTAGGAATCGTAAGAGGCTTCTTCTTYGTTTACAGCAACGGCTTCAACTACTTGTGCTGCTTCCAGTTCAGCTGTTTTGTTCCTGTACTCTTCAAATGGATCTTCTAGAAGTATATTTCTCTTGTGTAGATCGTGTGCCAACAATGCCATTCGCTGCAATGAAAAGAAAGGAGGAAGCAATGAGATCAATGAGCGTGCATCACTGGAAGAGCAAGTGGTCGTCGGTGGCGAAACCCCRGAGCCATTGTCACTTACCTCTGCAATCTTTCGCCAGCTGGTTTGTTTGATGTTCTCCCTGAGGTAGTTGGAAGACCTCCAATGAAACACTGATCCAACGTTTTCGTTAGGATTCCAACCTTCTGATCCGGTTGTACTTATGTAGCGATTGAAATTGTAGCAGGCGATTTGCTTTGCTAGAGGCAACCTATCATAAATTAGTTGAGGATCCTTCTCTTGGTGTGCTTTTTTTGCTCCACTCTTTGGTTGGTGTCGAGGCATCGTAGAAAAGAAAGAATATGAAAAGAGCAAACAATATTTTATTATAAATTTATCTACATAGTATCAGCAGCGACAGGCAGCTCTTAGCTGCACTCAGCTTGCTCATTGCGCCATTGCTTCTTGCTTGCATTGGTCCTCCGGTCTTGGTTACTGTTGCATGCTTAGCTGCTTTGCTGGTTTGAAACAGTGATTTTCTAGCCTGCTATTTGCTTCTTAATATTAACACGAGCTATCGCGTGAAGCTTGGAAAAGCTCAAGAATAACAGGCAAGTTCATACTTAATACTGTTTCCGCGTATATTTATTGGTGATGAATATTAATATGTTGCAATGATACGGGATTAGAGCAATGCTGTGGGATCCCTATACAAGATATATACGTGATGAATACTATTTAATATATATAGAAAGAGGGCAATGCTGTGGGATTGAARTACAGGAGCCAGTAGGTACTGTACGTAGGCTAGGAGCCCCACGCAATGCATGCAGCTGCTGCTCAGCAAGGAGCAAAATGGATCTATTTGGACGTCTGTAGTACAAAATCTGTGTAGAAACCCCTGTAGAAAACAGCAAATCAAGGGGGTACCCTTGCCATTTTGCTCAAAATAGAAGGGTTTTGATTCCGCGTTCAAAATTGTACTGTGTCCTAGTGTCTTTACCTTTACCTGTCTCCAGCACGCTGATCCAGCACGCTGATCCAGCACGCTGATCCAGCACGCTAAACTGTTCTTTTCATTCTATCGAAAAACTCGGTTCAAAGCAACCGACCATGGGAATCGCTCTATTTTAGACACTTCCACTCAACCTTATACACTGTAATTGGTATCACTGCATATATCTCTTCCATTGTCGAATCGACAAYYCTWGAACCATAGAAAAGGACCCAGTAGAAGTATTAAATTAGTAGTGTTTAGTATAGCTTGTCTTTTTTCGACAATGGTACTAACCAAAGAAGGTATTGAACTAGTTGCTAAAGAGGTTCTTCGGTGGCCCGAAAGGAGGATATGGAATTCACGCAACAAAGATATGAGATTCAGAGCTTGCTTTGGAGCCCCGAGTGAAATAGTAGCAGATATCTGGAACAAAATAGTAGCTCGGGGACCAATTGAAGCTGCTGCTCGACCAAAGCATCTGCTTTGGGCTTTGATTCATCTTAAGGTATATTCAACAGTAGAGACCCACTGTGCTCTTGTAGGATGGCCTTCAGCCGAGACCTTTTCAAAGTGGTCCTGGTACTTTGTGAAGAGGATTGCAGAGCTGTGTGAGGACCTGATCMGACTCGACAAAAGATTTGATGGACAGAATGGAGCAACAACCAACTGCTTCATAAGCGTCGATGGAACAGACTGTCCTATCTTTGAACCATGGCCTTTCTCCCCTGACATGTATTCAAAGAAGATCAATGGACCAGGGTTGAAGTATGAAGTGGCTGTTTGCTTGAAGACAGGATACATTGTTTGGGTCAATGGTCCCTTCAAGGCAAGCGTGAACGACAATACTATATTTGAGGAGGGTTTGGGTACATATCTTCATCCACAGGAAGCTGTGGAAGCAGACAGGGGCTATGGGGGAGATCCCCGACTGAAGCATCCATCGATGGGGATCAACAGTGAGAAAAGAAAGATGAAATCAAATGCTCGTGCGCAGCAGGAAGCTGTAAATAGTAGATTGAAACAATTCAACGTGCTCACTACTCACTTCAGGCACATGAAGCCAAACAGGGAGACAATGATGGAGAGACACGGGCAGTGTTTCGATGCAGTTGCTGTGATTACACAGCTTAAGTTTCTTTCCGGGGCCACAGTCTTTGCCGATGGGCTCGATTACGATGTTCATTATTTCTAGTCGCACGAGCAGATAGCCTCAACAACACAGCGCAGATGCCCTTTGGCAAGGAAAGATGCCACTGCATCACTATTTACACTACTCAAGGAATACTGCTGTTCCCACTACTCCCKGAACCAGTGCTGTTCTGGGGGTCTCAGTAACCAACATCATCTCCGGCGCTTTAGAATACTGTTATTTTGAATGTGCGATGATTTTAGGCCGAAAGCTAATTTTAACA